ACGGCTAGGACGACTAGTAGCTTTACGTTATTGGTGAGAATCTAAACAGAGCTTAAACAATCAGACATATTAAAACTAGCGATGCTGCTATTGTGATAGTAATTACACAGAGGTTGTACAAGTATGTCACTGATAGTTTGGTTTGAATTCTTGACGGGAAACATCGGTAGATCAACAGGCATTGCTCTGGACCCAGTCGATGAGGTCCTACAGTATTCTCCAGTTTGGTTTCCCCTGGTCGGGGGTGTAGGGTGAAGGGTCTGGCAAGGAAACGGCGGCTAGTCGTGCACATAAAAGAACCCATGATAGCTGAAATTTGATTGTTTGCGATACCACTTCTGTGAAAGCAGACGTTAAATCGCCAGCTACTATTACAGAAATTCGATGATGAATACACGGAAAAAGCCACTGTCGAAGCAAAATGTCACTAGGTTCTGCAGCCTGCTTTCCCCTGGTCAGTGATGGAGGATAAAGTTTCTGGCAAGGAAACAACGTCTAGTCGTGCACGTAAAAGATCCCTTGATGATTGGAATTCGATTGTCTGCGATATCATTACTGTGGAAGCAGACGTCAAACCACCAACTTTTGCTACTGGAATTCAATGATGAACAAACGGAAAGGTCAATCAATGCAGACAGTTCATAGCGCGCGCCAATATTCATGAGCCCGATTGGTGCAGAAAATCAAACGTTAAACCCCAAACATTTCGAATGTTTGATAAGGCTTAACTGCTGATCTATATGCTGTTTCCTAAATCCTGCACAGAAATCTGAATCGAGGGTGAGGGTCATCGTGTATGAGTGCATATTGTCTAAATCTCCTATTTCTTTTAAATAACAAGCTTATATATATTATATTGTAATTTAAACATATTTTTCTACTTGTCTTAAAAGTAGGTACATGAGTTGGGTTTATTATATCTATTGTTGAATTGAAGTATTGCCAAGCGACTTAATAAGAAACGCGATCGCTTTTATTTTAAAGCTGAAATCTATATCCTTTTGTTGCTGAAGTAGAAAGAAAACAATAATAGTTGTTAGGCATAACAGTATTCAATTTATTTTCTAGCTTCAAGCTTATTGATTATACGTTAAGACAATAACCACATTTTTCGAGGAGTTGACAGCGACCCATGTTTTCATATTATTTTATTTAAATGTCACATTATCAGATTGCACCAAGCAAGATAATCTCATTGCCCAGATGCTATTTCATAAATAATAAGTATGGCATGCTTACTTTTCTAAACACCTGATACCACTTCAGGGGGTTGGTATAGCTTACTGTATTAAACATCTGGTATGTTATCATTGGCGTCGATGCTATCTTAAACCCGTGTGAAACAAAAAGATACATTAAACTAGTAAAGTTGCGAGTGTCGTGCAAGAGACAGGATATGTTTCTGTCCTTTTAAAACATCTGATAAAATTTCAATTGAGGAGTTCACACAGTTATTACAAACATCTTTGGTACTGAATCGAATCTCTGATGTAAGAATTTGGAACATCTGCCTTTCGGAGTCTTGAATAATTAATGCCAGAGAAGGTCATATATGTTGCATTATGTTTTTAAAACACAGATAGAAATAGAAATCAGCCCATGGATAATGTCACTGATGCTATTTTAGATGTCACCGTACCGTAACCATCTGTCAACGTACAGATCACCATTCATATCTTTTCTAGTAAATTCTGAATATCTGAATAATCCAGATGTTGTTACCCATTTGGGGGTCAGGAACAAATATAAAACAAATATTAAATCTATTTCCGAATAAACCAAACTACCAATCTAATTGCGTAAACTATAAGGAATGTCCGCAACGGACCAACAGTTGCTACTTCCGCCAACCAAGTTTCACCCAGGAAGAAATGAATGAAATGGGGTTTAACGTTCTACTGTTCTGCTCTGAACTGGGCTAATGAAGACGGGCATACGTCATACAGCGTGCTATGAGGGAAATTTTGCCCGGACAGCGGCACTATGGACTACTCTTTTATCGAATTCCAACTGTCACACGGGACCTCGGTTTTTCGTACCATCCGAACGACTAGACAGCTGTTCTTGTTAGGCCCTCCGTCCGGCATCACTGACAAGGGGGAAGCACGCCGGAAAATCTGGATGAACTTTCTCGGCCTATGCAGGGATCGAACACCCGACCTCCAGGCTAGCGAGCCAGCTTCTTACCCACTTAGCCATCGTGATCCCCAATAAAGTTTAACAAACTAGTTTCATAATATGGCTATCGGTAAAACAATTGAACGTTAATACATAAATGTGCCTAGAATAAAACCTCTGGCAATATTCATTAAGAAACACATCAATCTTTTCCCAAACACCTTGAAACTAAATAAATTGTTTTGCTTCCATTACAAAAAACTTCTCGGGTTAAAATGGCCCAATTGCTAGTGATAAACGTCTTGCGTGTGCTGAATAGAAAAATCATAAATAGCCATTTGTAATGGCAGCATTTCAAGTCTTGCACCAACCATGTTGAGAGCGATTATCATTAGTTTTATGGTAAGAAAGATAATTTTATTTTTCTGGAAACGCATCGGGATGTGGTTTCAACTCGATTTTTAGAAAACAAAATTAATTGTGAACAACTTAATTGTGTTTTTTTTACTTATTCGACCATCTAAAGTGTTTGTCCTGAAGGGTTTTATTTTGCTGTCTCGTCATAAAAGAGTATGAACTACATATTAATATAGTAGACAAATTCGGTCTAATGAGATCAATTACGGCCCACTTCTGATAGCTCAATAATATTTTGAAAAAATACTATGTCTTTTTTCAAGGGTACATACGTTTACTGTAAACTCGGGCAAATTAACCCGCTATGTGATGAAAGTGTGGTGTCAATTCAAATCATGATTATAAGAAACAAGTTGATGGTGATTTAAGGACCAATGGATTGATTTTTGTAGGAGACCTAATTATTTTGTCAACAAGTAAAAATAAAGTCATTGTTCATGTCCATATATATATATATTATATGCATCAGAAACATCACCTATTGTTTCGGGTTTTTGTTTAAAGCATACTGATCTGTTCCCTGGTCTATACTAAACTACGCATTGTAATCTATGAGAACTTGTTATTATTGTGACCAATATAAATCTAATATGATTTCAGGCGACGCAACATCGGGGAAAACTACCGCATATTGTGTCCAGTATTGTTAGTATGTTTTCATTTTGAGTGAAGCCTGCGAAGCTTACGACTGGTCCCGGATTTGGTATATGTTTGTTGTTTAAATGTGTGTATATATTGTGTGTCGTGTCCGTACATTTTTTGATGTGTTGTGCGGTTCTCCTTCACTCAGTAGTTAAGTGGTCAATACTACATCCTAATGGGATTTCGGGCGATGCATCTTGCGCTGTAGTGTCACATCGGAGAAAACTATAATCGACTGTTCACACAATTCCTTGGTTGGGTTATATGTAAAATTCCACGTTAGCAAGGCTTTCATCTATCGGTGCTTCCAGGTCCATTAGAGAACCTTAACTGTGTGTGTGATTAAAGGAATGCATAATGTTTAGCCTTTAAGCTTTTGCTATTATTGACTATTAAATTAGTGTATTATGGGATATTAGTTGCCTCAATTACGACTTGTGGCAGAAAATAGATCATTGATGTTCAATTAACCCGAAAACCCTCTACCCGAAGAAATCTTTGCTTAGTCTGAAAGGCTTATTGGACGACCCACAACCACGAAGCCATGATCCAAGCAGCTGGTAATTTGAGTTTAAAGAAATGTCTAGACGAATGCTTTATCCTCTTTTAACAGGATCAAGGCGAATCTTGAACAATTTAACATTCCATGTCACCCGTCTCTTTAGAAACACTGTTTCAACAACCCTTAACATTGCGTCAAAAGCATAATCAATGGCTTCTATTGATCATCACTGGCTTCAGAATATACAACAAACTTTACGGTCGGAGATCGCAGACGTTTATCAGCCATAATGATGGTGCATTAACTACCAAAAATCAAATCTCCTTAGAATCGCTTACATACCCGAGAGCTGAAACGAATTTCCAAATCGATTGCCTTGCGGGCTTTGTTTGTATCTGTCACACATTGGAGATCTCCAGACAAAACATTTAAGGTGTCTTAAAACACAGATCTATGACGTAAGACAACTCAGATGTTCTTACAGCTAATGAAGTGTACGAAAATACTTTCATTTACTGTGGAATAACCACTTTACTTTTAATGATTAGGCAACCTAAGTGGCTTTATTCGCATCATTATATCTTAATGGATTCTGTAGAAAAATACCGCTGCTTAATAGATGTATTTCATGCAGAAGCTTTTGTGGTTGTCAGTAGCATCTAAATTCTAGCAGTTTATTGTAATTGATTGTCGCTAATACTTGCATGGACATATTGTTGATGCACCATGACTTGTCATGATTTGATATATATCGGTGAACTATCAATAATTTACCCACGTAAAATTATTTGTCATTGGTGGCATGTCATTTATTTGATATCGACTCTGTGGTGACTGGTGAAATTGCGTATTTGAAACTTAATACAAGTCTCGTATTGATTTGTGTGGGCTTTGTATGACCAAATATTTGTCCAGTTTGTGCTTCCGTGGGCAGGATACGGGAGTCGTGGCGACTTTATAGGCACATTTCTTAGGTAATCTATAATAAATCGCATAATTACCCCCCCCCCCCTTCACTTCCCCCGTTTACAGAGCGTGTGACAATGATACACGACAGTTCGTAGGGAATTTTGTTTTCTGGTTACCCTACTATTTATATTTTGAAATTAAAGCTTGGGAATATATTACGGGGGAAAGTAATGACTTTGTACGATTGTTCATAAGGTCGTGAAATTCAATAACTTGTCCATGAAACGTATCGTTAATGGCATTGTTAATGGCTGACATCATACTGGAATTAGCTTTGTAATCCCCATTTACGTTTATTTATAATTAAAATATTTTGAATTTTTGTATAATTGTATACAGTTAATATACTTACTTTTGGGTAGATGCCATGTACTGTAATTGCTTAGTGCTGTGCCAAAGAATCCAAATAACTCTTGAGTAGCAGAAGACCACGATGATGGCGGGAATTGCAAATAAGAGACACAACTGAAAGACTGCATATGGTAAACGTCCTGAATCGGGAATGCCAGCATCGCCACAAAGAGTAACGGCCACAGACGAAGCATTGTTATAATACAGATTGGTTTCTGTATCCTGAAGTAGAGAAATAGAGAATTATGGAGAGTTATCGTTACTGGATTTGCGAATATCAAAATCTGTATTATTTTGGGTTAATGTGTAAAACCATGACTTTTTCAAACTGATTTGATAAACTTCATCATATAATAACATATTGACAATCCGGGATGTCTGAATTTTATTTCGAAATTTAAAATATAAAGTCAAATGGTGGGTATTCTAACACAAACATTAATAAACTTCAATCTTGACACATTTTGGGTTTTTTCTTTCAGTTGTCTTCAAAATTAGATGATGGTGGGAGTTGTAATCGGTTTTCAATCTTTAGAAGTTCAATATTGTTCTAGATTCAGGACAGGGAATTCCCAGGGCCATTAAAATCACATCATTTCTAAACACGAAAATCAAGAGATTCTTGTAAATTCTTAAGTGTTAATGACTTGATTTGGTTCCCGATTCATGACAGGGGGAATCTCCAAGGCATTGCTAAAAATCATTCCTACGCATTTTCACATAAACTATGACTGTGCGATAATCCTAATGTAGTAAATGTTAAATGGCGCGAAGATGAAACCTTGACACCGATGAACAAGAAAAACTACTTGTAATTTGATTCAGGAATGTAGTCTGTACAGATAGCCAGGAGAAAATTATGCCATTTGTCGTACGTCTGGTGCTAAGGGGTTTATGGGTTAAAAGGCCGATTTACGAAAGTAAAATGAGAATTTTAAGAGAACCAATCGATCAATCAATGTAAGTGCTTACTCAACAAACACGGAACCAATAAAAAGTATTAGCATGTGGGTTATGTCGATTTCTCTTAATTCTCGACGTTTAAATTCATGATTGTTTAGATTCGTAGCCATTACCCCAAATTTAAAGCTTATTAAGCAGTTCCAGACAAAGTAGGCCACAAAACATTCATTTCTGCTAAATAGAAAAAATTACAGACTATTCAATAAACATTAAGTAAAATAGCTTACCATTACAATAAAAGATGGCGATGAAAGTAAAATGGCGCCTATCCACGTAGTTACTAAGGCGATTTTCGTATATTTTTTAGTACATATGATCTTAGATGTCAGTGGATGGGCAATTGCGAAATACCTGAAATAGAAATAGACACAAATTAAAATCATAATATTGGTATTGAAGAACGTCATGGGGAGACTATATGTCGCCAGCACGTAAGTATGACATTCGAACGTTTACAAAACAAAGCTGACCAAACTCATTGCAATCTGAACCCGCCCTAGACTCACAGCTCAAGTACAGTTGCAATTTTAATAGAACATAATCATTCACGAAATCTGTAACTCGTCAGATTTTTATTTGTATAAAAGCTATGGTTATATAATATAAACATAGCAACGGTTGACAGTCCAACAGCCCATGTCTAGTTGGTGATTAAAAATAGTTTATTAAATGAAACGAAATGGGGTTTAACGTCCTACGTTGGACTCTCTGGTTGATGTAAGAAGGCATTTACAAACTGTAGAGACGGAAAGTGAATAAACAAATCAGCGCTAAAAGATATGCTTCTGCAAGCATAATTAGGTCATCGTGTCGACCCTCTGAACGTATTATTATCGGAAAGTAAACTTATACATTCAAATTACTAAATTAGCCTCCTTAATTAATTAATTAATTAATTACTGGGTGATAAATGCCTGTGTGTCTACCGTGCATTTTAACGTAGCCGCCATTATCTATCATAATATTATTCTTACATTTATATAACGCACAAATGCATATACATGTGCTCAAATTACGTGTATGTAGCAATAACTAATAAATAAACGCAGGTTCCAGCTAAAAAGGAGCTCAATAATATTAATATTACGTACAGTTTTAATTATTTCATTGGGTATCATAAGCCTGCTTAAATAGATATGTCTTAAGGCTTGGTATAAATGATCTTATAGACGGCGGATATTAAACGGAAATTCATTCCAAAGAATTCGCACATTATCTGCCGAGCAGCTGTGTTATACACTGTTAGTGTCTTATTTAGGAGTTGTAGAGGGAGGCCAGCCAGTAAAGCCTTAAAGTAAGTTATCTAGTCTTTACGTTGTAAAGGCTTTATACTTGTGATCTTATAGCATCTAACGACATTCTTTATTTTACCCATATTTCTTAAATAGAAATGTACATAGATTATTAACTTGAAACGCAAACATCAATGTTAGAATTAAACCCAACAGCAGTAATACCTGCTCAATGTGATGAAGTTATAGAACAACTGCCATCGGGGTTGTATTGTCATTATAATATCGACTTTCAGATGTTGGCATGATAATTGGTTTTGCCACCATGAGGTTTCATTTTTTTATGATATTCAGCATTTAATATCAGTTCAATCTGACATTTATAATTATCGAAATCTTTAGTGAAATTATGACTGGGTGTCATCTGAAACTTGAATATGTACAGGCTAAACAGAATTGGCTAAACAGAATTGGGACAAGTACAGAGCCTTGTGGAAAACCGCAGGGCAGTTCACTACACTGGCAAGAAAATGGCGGTTGCTGGCGTTGCCTTATAACAGTTGAGTGACGCAAGCGCTAAAAATTCAACACCAAACACTGATATTTGACCTGTTTAATATATTGTGGGTAATTTGTTTTCGCATGGTCATTACAAACATCAACATTTTATATAAAATTTATACCGATGAAACAATTATGCCCAAGAGAACATGTCATTATTGTCAGACTAACCATGTGGAAGAAATCGTAGAAAACTATAAGGGGAAATTTAACGAGGTCTCACATTAAAACTGTTGCTCCATTCAGTTAAAGAAAGGTATATAAATATTTCGGTGTCCAGATTTAAGTACATATTTGACCAGATAGTTTTGAGTTTAAAAATTAAAGCTCTAACACCCATCACATTAAGATGTGGGTAGTGCACTATGCACACAGTAAAGAATGCTCGCTCTAAAAAGCACCTGATCGATGACTGCATGATCAAAGAATAGTTTACATAAATATGATCGAAATAAATAAACGTTGGAATTTAGTTTTCTGCTATTGATTAGTAAATATAATGAAACGATAATAAACTAAAGACGGACAAGATACATATATAATATACACGTGTCTGAAATATAATGTCAGCATGAATGTAACATTATTAATTAAGGTGTTATCCACTTGCCAGACTTAAACTTCTGGTGTGTTTAAAAGATAAATATTGGCACTACAACTAGAGATATTATCAGAAGTTAATTCCTGTCATTTCATCAATTAGATGTGTTAGTAATATCGTATAATACCAATATCATTATTAATAATATCAATATAGAAATGCCGCTTTATCAAATTGTATTATCAACCTGTGTAATATAATGCCCCTAAAGGATATATTATAAACTCATTTCGTTATGGTATAATGTATTGTAATTTAGAATAAAGTGTACATCATAAGAACTGGTTGATTTATTTAATAAAAAATAATAACATTTACCAATAAAATTATCATTAAAAGCAATATCGATATGTTAGTATTCTCCCATATGAAATTGTTAATATTCCCATTTATATCTATGATTTATTGAAAATTACCATCCATTTTTAAAACCTTTAACTTATTTACCCAATAAACTATTTATATATAAAAAGTATCGGGGGCTTGGAGTGGCCGAATGGTTAACGCGTGCGCGTTGCATCATGAGGTCTGCCATTGGGTCAAGTAGCGTGGTTTCGATTCCCTGCTTGTACGTTCCAAGGAGTAGAGTCGCCTGTCCAACATTGTGGCTTTTCTCTGGGTACTCCGCCCCTCCCCCCACTGCTAAAGACTTTTACGCGCAAGCGAATTACTGAAATAAAATTGACCCATCTGTTAGTACCGAAATGACCTAGTTTATGTTGAGTGGACGTTACCCCCCCTCTCTCTCTCTCTCTTTTATATTAAATATCTAAATGAATGAAATTGTGTTTAACTAATAACTAACAGAATTCACCAGAATTCATTAGAAAACATATGTTTAAAAGCCAGAAATTTGAGCGGTCAAGTAGAAAAGAATGTCAGTGTCAAAGAAATAGTTGACCAATCCAGTCTAGATACCCAGGTCTACTTAGTATTGGGAAGGTCCAATATTCGAGGAAAATGTCCAAATGTTATGAAATGTGAAAAACAAGCGTGCCGCATAAAGGGACAAATTTCGCCTACAACGTTATGCAAGAACATAGTCAGATGATGGATAAAATAAAGGTTTAAGACCATAAAGAATCAACCGTTATTTTACATTAAACGAATAAAGTATAAGATTCTGTAAGTTTTACTTGCACGCCAATCCATTCCTCACAAAGTGTTGTTTTTTATTTACAATATCCATTATTTCCATTTTACAAATATATGAACGATATGGCTTGTTTTGTCTCTAATGAGAGATTTTTGGAAAATATTTAATGCAGTAACAATTCCATATAACGGAAAATGTCAGAAATTAATCATATTTTTTTTTTTTTTTTTAAAAAAGCACATTTTAAGTTTTTTCTGAGTGCCCGAGGGCTGATTACATAGATACGCTCAAGCTTACTGAACACGAGATGCGTGTACGTCACCAATTTTATTGAACTAATCATAGAGTTTCGTGTGCTGTAATATTTAGCTCGGTGCCTCTCAAGATGTACAGTTATGGCATGACAAACAAGCAGCTGTCTTGGTCAACGACTAGCGTCAATCTGTGATCACTTCCTATTGTTTCATCAGGAATAAAGATCCTGAGAGGTCGGTAAATAGTAATATCCTTGAATTCTGCATAAAACGCATTTAATTTGGCTATTGAATATGGACATTAGTCTATTATAAGAATTAGTAATTCAAATTTCGTCTATAGTTGAGAGATAAAAGAGACCCTTTAAGAGACCCATGCGTCATAACAAGAAACTGTACAGTAACGTTCAATCTTGTGAAGGGGGCGATCATTTAATTAAGTAAATGGAATCAAAGTCTGGAGAAAATGGCGGTAAATCAGTTTTATTATATTATATAGTTGATTGATAAATCAGTTTACTACCTTAGATACAGACGTTTCATTTACAAAGCATTAAGATTGGGATCGAGACAACGTGATAATATGTAGGTAATAAGACGAGCAGCCTGATACGCATGGAACCAATGACTGGAAGTATTTGGAAATTTCATGATAAAATCCCCTTCTATCAGTTTATGACTGTTCTCTTTCATAGTTGTTAACGTCTGGATCTTGTCGTAAAATGCGCATTTGCTGGTTGTTTAAAATATGTTAGCTATTGTTCTTAATCTTATTTATGTAAAGGACATGCGGTAAAAACAGACAATTGGACGATTGTTATACTGTTTGTGATCGGTCTTGATAAACTAGTGGTTATGGTTTGATTTCAAGCCAGATTTCTACTGGTTGCGTCCTGGGAGGATGACAAGAACTATTTGCATAGTATCCAAGGAAAACCCAGAGTTAAAGTTGAAACAATACGAGTGCGCGTGACAGATACAGACCGGAAATAACTTCGCTCTATTTTGCCTTCGCGGCTTTGACTTCCGGTTAAAGCTTCATAGCGAAGTGTAAGCAAGAGATCTTCGATATGAGTTAACACAGGGAAGAAGGTAAGACATGAAGCGGAGAGATGACTTTTCACTCATTATTTATCGCCTCCTTTTATTCGTACTTAGTTAACGCAAAGGCAAGAAGGGGCGGAGGGGTAATTATCGGCTTCCATACCGAAGTCCAATGGATAGTAAAAACTAAAACATTAATTTGTAGATTACTGTAGGATAATTATCGGTCCACTCGGTGCTACTTATACCCTTAATCGTGTGATGATCTAGACTTTTGCTATTTCTCCTAGATTATTATTGGATACGTCTCTATATTTGTACTCGCTTTTCTAGATGCTTCGCCAATAATACTAGATATTTAAAATGGGTCAAACTTGATTTCTTATCGACACATACTGTTCAACTAGTTGACTGTATCATCAGTTTCATTATTAACATACAATACACAGTAGGTGGTGACAATGAGATAAAAAAAACCCCAACATTTCCATCAAATACCCCTATTAAAGACAACCCCCGTCTAACAATGTTCATAGATTATTATTTTATTTCAGCTATAAAGT